CGTTGGACTGATTTTGCACTACCAAAGGTCAATTCCAGCGATGATTTGGCCTAAATCAAGGGAAATCATGGCCACATTCCAGTCAAGCCGCTGTATTATCAAGCACCATTTGGCTTTTGTTTTTAGTGCATCTAATGGCGATGAAGCCGTTTCTATAGGTGCAGTAAAACTATTGTCTCTGGGCAGATCAGTGCCAACACATTGGAATGAGAACGTGCAATGTGCACGATTACATTCACATTCTCGACAGCGTGCCATGGCCAACTAATCAAACCCGATCACATCAATCGTCTATACTAATTGATATTAGAAAGACCGCATATCGGCTGAAATAGTTAGAAAGCACATTGGTTAGCGAAGTTTTTCTTCACGACGGCGCCTGTGCCGTGGAGTTTCACGTCCAACTAGCGCGCACGTACCCGTTTTTTGGCGTTGTACAAGGCGGACAACATTGAGAAGCTATAACTGGCTCAGTAGCAGTACAGAAGCCTGTTACAGTTGTTCGTGGACATCCTTCAGACCAATAAGAAAGGGTCCAGTTCAGGATGATCCTGGGAACAGTGACAGTTGTCGGTTCTTGAGATTCGTGTCCATATTCCATTACAGGACTTCGGACCAACCAGCTTCCAGAAACCTTGCTCACCGTCTTCTAAGTCGGACGCGCATCTGGAACAAAACCATAGAAACTATCGGTCAAAGCGAAAAGGAACGTTTTGATGCCGTTATGATAAGAAGCGACTTTTTTTGAAAAGCGCTCGTAGAGGAAGGGGTCACATTATAAAGGGAATCATACCTTGAATTATTTCGGTGTATTGTGGCTTCTGGTTGACATTCAGCACATATCGTGTTGCCTCTGAAATTATTGAGTAATAATGAAAGGTTGGAATTTACTCCGGTACGGTTTCCATAAAGCACAACTGGGGTGTGGTTCACTAGGACAGAAAGCGATTTTTCACAGCGCGAAATATTGTTCGTTGCGGGAAACTCGGGTCCAGTGACTTTCGCCCGGTCCACTTGATTTCACAAGACCATACACACAGGAACCATCGGTCCGCTGTTGATGCAGCCGGGACCCAAAAAGGATCCCGCTCGAAAAAATTTTCGGTCTGCTGAGCGGCCAAAGCCGTTTTCTGTTTTAGTCAACACTGCCCGAACAACTGACTGATACTCAAGTTTACAAGCAACGATTCCGATCGAATTTGCGGGGTAAAAAAAGCGGTCAATAGTGAAGTTGTAGATGGCGAGTTGACTGCCAATGGGGAAAAATGTGAAGGAAACCGCCGACGAAGCCTTCAAACGGGGACTCCCTCCCCCTCACCTCCCCATAGAGATGAAGAAGGGGCGTGTTGTACGAGCTACCCGAACTAGCTTGCGTAGCCGGCATTTCTTGCTGGCTCGTGAGAGCAAGAAGTGCGGACGTAATGACACATTGCCACCTAGTACAAGCAGAGAACAATCATAAATAAACAAAGAATCGCTAAAAAACGTTACAAGTAAAAACGCAACCAAAAAACGCAGCGTTAATTTTAAGACACGGACGTCAAGCAATCGCGCCACGAACCCACATCGAAGCACACAAACTCCCGCTGGGTTTCACCGACAGGACGCCACGCTCCACTTGACTCGTTCCACTGAACTCCCTTTTAGGCCGATGTCAGACTTTGCGAATCGCGCGATTCGCTAGCGTCTGCGGTCGCGTCGCGGCCAGTGAATCACTCAATTGGCTGGTACCGCAACGCGACCGCGGACGCTAGCGAATCGCGCGAATCGCTAGTAAATCGCGCGAATCGCTAGTACGAATCGCGCGATTCGCCCAAGCTGACATCGGTTTCTAGCGGCTTTCCAAGGTGAGTTTTTTGTTCAGTCACACTTCTTATGTTCTTGACTAGGGCTAGCGCATCGTTCCACACCATTAGTGTCGAACGAAAAACCCTGCTGGGACTGTTGCTTCAAATACTAATACAAATGTAATGTCAAAATACGATAGATTAGTCGGGAGGCGCGGAGTGTGAATTTATAACAATGTGAGCTTATCAAAATGAAAACCTATTTGGCGCCGCACGATGTTGTGCGCACAACACGACTCGTTGGCGATATGGAAAACGGCTGCCAGAATTTCCAATTCGGCTCCTCCCTCCATTAGCACATGATCTCCCTTCCTTCGTTGACCTCTGCTGATTTCTTGCCAAACGTTGGGCCGCTGTTAACGAATTATGGGAATTAATTCCGACTCCGCCCAAATCGGCGCACGCCCCGCCCACCCACACTCTGGTTTCCGCTCCTTTGCCTGCCTCTACGACGAATACCTCATCCCCCAATTTCGATGCCTTAAGACCACTTAATCCGCTAATCGCAAACTAAGAACCAGCTTTTTTCTACATAAACGATGACGCCAAATTCAGAAGACAATGACAAGAATTGTTAGTTTACCTGTACAGTCGTGTTTTGAACTGTTTGTGCCAGCAATTCCTGTTCACCCAACCAATGTGGTACTTCACGCAGTAACTGGAGATAACTCAAAGGTAATTTTCCAAAACTAAATCTTTAAATCATAAGAACCTACTAAGTGGCTTGTTTGAGCTTCTCGCGCACTGATGGAAGATCCCAGTAGATATTGTCTCGTGCCATTTTCGATCGAGTATCGTTGAATCGATAATCTATGAGTAGCGCGACCGTTGTTATATCTGAAAAAATCAGTTTTATCTTCACAATAGCTCAGAATTTCCCCTGAAAGTTACTCTCAAATCAGATTTACAAAGCGCTTCACTAAATCGATTGATACGAATGTCCGCGTAAGGCGAAAAATATATAAGTATCTCCAGTTTTACAAAAACTAGCTTCCGCTCCCAGCTTTACAAAAACTAGCTTCCGCATGCCTTATAATCGTTCTCTGCAGCTTAATCTAAGGTTGCTTTCATACTCTGCACATCTGGCGCCGTATGGAGATTGGCGGAAAACTCCAAGTATGAATGCGGTGTGGCTCTCTACGACATGAAACGAACTTAAATTCTGGGTGTGCGTCATATGGCGCGATCCCATTGGCATTGGAGCGCACAGGCCGTAATTACCACGTCCTGCTGTGGCCGGACAACTCGTCCGCGCAACACATTCTGTTCCGTTCATCTTGCCTTGGCATCAGGCCAACGAAGCTACCCACTCTTTTTTAGATCTTTGGGACTCAGCGAGATTTTTGAGGGCCCAAATTATCACATCGATCAATTGCTGAAGTCTAGCAGCCGTGTGATACGGACGAGTTGTCCTGGATACTGTGCGCTCTAATGCCAATGGGATCGCGCCATATGACCGCCTCCCATTATTCTCGTTTCGCAGCGCGAAACGTTCTTCGCTGCGGGAACCTCACATCTACCGGTGATCATGGGCCGGGTGCAGCAAAGCCCCAACGAGGGATGGGGACCCATCCCCAACTAGGGCATGAATCCTCTCACCCACCTCGGCGACATATCCCCAATATTGGGGATATGTCCTCCCGAAGTTGAGGACAAATCCCCAACCTTGGAGACACATCCCCTCACCCGACATTCAGCAAGAGACGGCTTAGGGTTCTGTCACGGACCCATCATTTTTCGATGGTCCTATGATCCCCGAGGCTTGGGGATATGTCACCCGATAATCTTTTGTATGGATAACACGAATATTCACCTTTTTCATCGATGGTTTATTAAGAAAAGGTGCACCCAGCACTGGATATACCAAGTGCTGTCATGTGGTCGGAGGCGCGGGTGCACCAAGACCCGGCCAGGGAATGGATCCTCGCAACTGCTCCGGTCGATGACGCAGTTCTCGTGACTAAGAATAGGGAGCTGCGTTCGGAGTTGCTGATTTTTCGGGACCTTTCCCCCGGCCGGGACTAGCTGTGCACCCGACCCCAGTTTATTTCGTTCTGACTTATTTACGACCCCTTTCTGAACATATAACAAAGGAGACAAACCGTCAAGTGATCGTCTTTGTGTGCACTGTTTGAAGCAGGTACGCATCTCCTTGAGTGCTGGGCACTCTTTTCCGCCTCTTACAGGAGGATCGATGACCTGCCGAACTCGTTGTTCCACACCAGTCCCACAACTGCCTTCGTCAGGTACGCATGGCTCCCATTCAGCCCATCCCGACACTCGACAGTCTCTACCTAAAATAGGCCTCATCAGGAATGTCAACTCGCAGCAATCTGAGAAAGGTCCGGTCAGTGTACAGAGCCGACGAGACGCAGACCGTCACGCACAGTATGGACCAGCACCACGCCGATTGTGCCTAGAAGAACGATAACGTGGACACACGTAGGTGTAATCCGAACAGCAGTCACCCAATGCAGTGCATGACTCGTCGCAGTAACAGTCGATTGGAGGAGCTTCCAGATACATGAATTGTGGACCTGAAAATCGAAATTTTATTTTTGTAGCTATGAGAGAACAGGGTTACCTTCATCCTCATCTGGTGTAGAGGGTGTTGTGGTAACTTTCAGAGGAAGATGTTGACTGAGAATCGAGTATCTAAACGGTTATCGATTGTCGGATGAATAGCCTATTGAAGTCCTCATTTAGCACATTTTTTCCGAATTATGTCGAAAAATTGATGATTACGGACACAAAACGGACAGACAGGTGCCAGACGACAAAGATTCTCTGGAGTTCTGCGTCTCAGCCGCAGCAGGACGAAATTGGCAGACAGGGCGCGTGAAAAACTCATAACCCAGGACTGAATTAAAATCTTCCAAGCCGAACCAGCCGCCCATTGAATGGTCACTTTGGTTTTGCATGGCGCATCGAAGTTGTAGCAAATAACCGGTTTGATAGCAAATCAAATTTTGATAATCTCAAGTAATTTCGAAATGATGCAAAGCGAAATGATTGGTCAGCACAATTTTTAGGCGAAAACCCTTGAAGGCACATCCCGTTGTAGAAAAATTTTGGTCGTTGCGCTCGAGATTGAATGTAGTTATGCTAATTGGTCCGTGAGAAATTGAAAAAAATTGAAACAACTGCTAACGATAAGAACCATTGAAATCACATGGCGCGCTGATCTTGTGGCGGCGGACCTTGAGCAAACCCACTTTTGAAGAAATCTTATTGGTTGACTCCTTTAAGTGTACCTTTACTGCAGCGGCCATAGCAAGATTAAAGAATGAACTGAAACTTTGGCACACGAGAAGCGTAGCTGAACCGCTACGAGTTACCCGCAGCGTCGGCAAGCAAAATCCCGCCGCATTACCATTAGCGCGCACTGTGGATTTTAAAAGAATTCTTAGCGGTCTTTTAATTTCTGATTAACAAATGAATTTTGGACACGGTAACACACACCAATTCAGTTGCGGAGTTTTTCTCAAACCATAAGCCAAAAAAGCTTGGCATCTTTGTGGCGGGCTATTGGCTGAAAAGGAATGTTTGCTAGTTACGTAGCCGCCAATGCTTTATGGCTAGCCAGGGTAAAGTGCATGTACAACGGCTCTTGCACAACTTCTAATTGTTTTCACCCACAAGCCCGCCTCATCAATTCATGTTGGATATCATTTCAATCGCACGCGCGCAAAATCAATACCTATCTTATATTATAGTGCATATTCAAATGGGTTGGCCGATGTGCAAAAAGTGCAAGATGAGTATCTATGAATTCAGCTAATTGGTATTAACCTATTAGCCCTACATACTTGGTCACAATTCGACATTTAAAAAACTTGCATGCAAGACACTTCAAAAAATGGAGCACTGTACAGTAAGAAACCCGGAAACTTAGGAAAGAAAAACCTCAGGGACGAACAATTTCTCACTTCAAATATGTCACAGTTTTCAGATAAAACACTCGGTTAGAGAACATCGCAACACGGCCACGCAACTCGACATCTAGGCGGAACCGCGTCGCACAACCGTGTCGCATGAGTGTTCGCGTTAGTGCACACTACACCTACGTCTTGTCCAATAAAGTGTTCATTCACGTCTTGTGTCTTGAATCTGACGTCTATACAAAGCGTTATTGTAACAGCCCCAAAAACAGCACACACACACCGTATAAGAAGATGTTTCGGTCTCGACGTATACCGTAGAATCTCCTCCGGAGGTTCGTCGGGTCCTACTGGATAGCCGAATAGGAGGTGAGTGATCTTCCGAGCAGGCGATGTCTTCTTTTTATGACGGCGGGCCTTTGGCACACGATTTTGCTCGGTACTGTCGTCGGCTGAAATAGAAGTACGAAGTAGTAACCTCCCTTCAAAAAGCGAGAAAGTGTCGGGTGCAGACCAAACACCACAACTGACGACGGCCTCCAAGTAAATCTGGTTAGAAGTTGTTCATAGTGATAGCTGATTTCTGGTAAATGATAGTTGTAATTAGTGACAATCGATAGAATACAACTGCAACAGGCTAATCATTTCATTGGCAGAAAACATTAACATTTTGTGAAGGCCGTCGTCACTTGTGGTGCATGGTCTGCACCCGACACTTTCTCGCTTTTGAAGGGGAGGTATATGAGTAATAAAAGGTCGTATAACTCGCAATGGTGCGTGAGACTTGTTTGGAAGGCTTCTTCTTGGTCGCACAATGTGGCATGTCTATGACCCTTCAATCACCTGTATGTGTATTGCCGCGCCTTTTGGTCTACTGACAACTTGAACCGCTCTTTAACACATTGACGACCGCGCGCGTTTTGGCTTTTTTGGCCGTGTGGGACCGGGCCGATTTTGCGAGTGCGACCGCCGCACCTCGGATCCGTGAATTTTTATTGATAACTTTTTAAAGCACCAGTGGTACAAAAACATCTCAGTAACAGTCAATGCGTAGAAGGTAATAGAGTATATAGTGACGAAGTTCCGATTAAAGAACATGTAATGGTAATGAAAAAGGAAATTTTAGTCATTTTATCTGTAGTGGATGCCAAAAGCTCTTTTGATGTGGTTATACCAAGTGAAACATGTATTTTTCTGTCTCTTTAGATTTGCATTTACTTTCACTACCCTTTTTTATTGACGTGTTCATGAGAATAGCATGAAAACTATTAATGAACCAAGCCGCCGGTTTCGGTGAGCTTGGAAAACTTCTTCTAAACTGGAGCATATTTGAACAAACAATGACCTATGTCGTTCACAATAATGTTATGTTCTAATCCATAGAAGAGAGACAAACAATTCGGGAAAAAGCTGCGCATGCCCTAGAAAAAGGGATGATAAGGGTGAGACGCGGTG